GGAGAATGTACAACATCCCAGGTTACAGTTACGGTGGTTTCACATATTTCCTGAGACATCTTATAAATGCATACAATTGAGACGTGGGCAGTTTTACTATCTGCTGACAAACTGTACTCAGAAAAATCTAGATTAAATAAACAAACAGCGAAAAAGGTAAAGGATCCCGTTTCCATGTACACTTTAGATACAATTACTTGGCCCCAACTTGCCTAACCAAGTGGGACTCATGCAGTCAGTCAAGTGACTGATGCAGCCAGTCAAGTGACTGCTGTTTACCCAGAAAACTGATGACCCTTCTAAGAAAACTACATTTTTCCTTATTCGGTATTGATATAATATGAGGTTCATTGCTGCCGATATCACCTGCCTCCATTCATCTCTGTGACTGGTCTTCTCTTTCCATTTGGTGGCTCAAGTGTTTATAGGCCAGCCTGTACATTATGTCTATAATCTTCTTGGTCTGCTCTAATTCAACTCTTTTTTTTTGTGCGCAGTGTTTTTTTTAATGAAAACCACACTGTTATTTAAAAAAACCAGCCTCGGGGATTTGATCTTAAAACCAATGTGGCACTAGCCACAAGATTACCGCTGCCTCCAACTCAAACAGAAATATTCCAAAAACAGTGAGAGCTAATTCAGATTCAAATCACAAAGAAAACCAGCAGTTTATGTAATCTCTATAGTTCCAGTACTAACACTACAAGAAAAGGGATGCAAGTATGAGAGAAAGAATAGAATTTAAAACAATTTAATATAAATTACTTCATATGCACATATACTAAAGAATCATCTGGTATATAATTCCAACACAGCCCATTTGTCCTTCATATTATCAGCCTACTAAACATCTACCTGCGGTCTTCTCTCCCTACCACACATATTTCTAAATTATGCTCTCCCTACGACACGTATTTCTAAAATATGCTCTATCATGTATGTCTAATCCAAAGCTTTCAACTTTCACTGGCAACACATTTTTTGCACAAACATGATTTTGCGACACAGTGATTCAGCCTACTAGCAAACAAGGTTAAACTTACTCCATACAGGAGATAAAGACACATATGTATGTCCGAGCAACAAATCACAGTGCAGTGATGTGTCCAAACACACTTTTTAGAAAGCTCTAGTCTATCCAATACACCGTTTATAAAGCTCTGGTGTAAGCTATGTTCTATCTACCACACCTAGATCGCCCTAACACCACAGGCAAAATGAGATTTTATCAGAATGATACTGAAGTACTAAAAGCAGAGATTTAATAGCAATCTGTTAATTCCCCACATAAAAGAAAACAAGATAAACTAAGTGAATTCACTGAAATACATGCTTTTACAGTACTGAGTGCACTAATTCTCATCCAAATTAAGCAATAGAATCTTTTTAAATGGAAGCTACAGAAACCTATTAAGTAGCAAAATAATCATAAACAATATTATCACAAGCTTTATAAATGCAAAAACTTCTAGACATCCTTATCTCAATACATTTTAGATTCAAACTTTTACATCTTTCCCTGTGTCTGCCATAAGAGAACCCGCCTAACTAGAAATTAGATCTAGCTGTTTGCAGTTTCTGGGTAACTGCCATTCGCTCAACTATAAGGAATGCCGTATTCACACCAGAAAAAGCAACACTGCTGCCTCCAAGATCTCCCTACTTTGTTCAATCACATTCCTAAATTCATATTAAACATCTTCAGCCATAGCTATTACTTTTACAGCCTCATTGCAGTTGTTGTTTGTGTGCCTTTTATTCCCCCTAATAGAGCAAACCCCTTCAACTAGTTTATGCCAGGTTGTCCTCTACTTTGCTATTACATCTAGCTCACCCAATGTCCTTCCCTTCCTTTTAACTTCACTCTCTTGTTCTCTTCACATTTTTTTGGTTTGCATTTATTTCTGTGACCCTGTGGGTTCCAGCGTAAAGCCATTCTAGTTATACTGTTCTCAGTTTTCTCAATGTGGGTCCTATCCAACACCTGTGAATTTTCTTCACCTCTTGGTCTATTAGAATGTGTTCTATCCCAAAGCTCCACAGTGATTCTATCACATAATGCAAATGCCAATGAATTTCTGTACTTTATTAGTAATTATTTTAGTTTTCTCCATATAACAGTGTTGATTTGACATTAGTTAGTTAGTTAGTCTTTCCTCTTGTGTCGAGTGCGGCACATAGGGCAGAGGTCATGACTCTCCATGCATGGCGGTTCGTTGCAATCTGTTGTAGGTCTTGGATGTTTGAGTGGCCCATGAGCGAGCCTTCCCTGATGATAGTTCTACGTAGAGTTTCCCTTGGTCTTCCACGAGATCTATTCCCCTGTGGTGTCCAAATGAGGGCTTGGTAAGGAAGTCTTGATTTATCCATTCTAAGGGCGTGGCCGACATAGTTCCAGCGGCGTTTTGTATAAAATTAGACACATACTCTTGCCTGGGTTCTTGCCTTATTTAAATTTGACATTAGAGTTAAATATTTTAAGTTTAGTATTAATTTCCTTTGACTTCCACAAATTTCCTAGTGCTATGAAAACTCCCTGTGCCTTTTGTATTCACATTTCAATACCTCTATCAGCCTCCCCCTCTTGATCTACATTACTGCCTAAACAGGTGTATGGCTGCAAATCTTCGAGCTGGAAATCACCAAGAGAAATTGAATTACTGTGTGTCTAGTTTATTTCTATCATCTTTGTGTTTCTCTTCTGAAATTTTAGACCTAATTGTTGTATTCTCTCATCAAGTATGTTTTTATCTTGCACCTGATTGTGTAAGTGAGAAAGGACAAAATGTCAGCAGCAAAGACCTCAGGCTGTCTGGTCCACTGACATCTATTCCTGGTAGTCTTCCTAATCTTAGTTGTTACTCAAAATTTATGTTTCTTTCGTGTTAAATCCATCCAACACAGACAATAGCTGCTGATGCAGGTTCCCTCCATGTTAACTCTGTCCAACACAGATAATCGCTGCTAACGCAGGTTCCCTCCATGTCAACTCTGTCAAACACAGACAATCGCTGCTAACGCAGGTTCCCTCCATGTTAACTCTGTCAAACACAGACAATCGCTGCTAACGCAGGTTCCCTCCATGTCAACTCTGTCAAACACAGATAATCGCTGCTAACGCAGGTTCCCTCCATGTCAACTCTGTCAAACACAGATAATCGCTGCTAACGCAGGTTCCCTCCATGTCAACTCTGTCCAACACAGACAATAGCTGCTGATGCAGGTTCCCTCCATGTTAACTCCATCCAACACAGACAATCACTGCTGATGCAGGTTCCCTCCATGTTAACTCTGTCCAACACAGACAATAGCTGCTGATGCAGGTTCCCTCCATGTCAACTCTGTCAAACACAGACAATCGCTGCTGATGCAGGTTCCCTCCATGTCAACTCTGTCAAACACAGACAATCGCTGCTGATGCAGGTTCCCTCCATGTCAACTCTGTCCAACACAGACAATCGCTGCTGATGCAGGTTCCCTCCATGTTAACTCCATCCAACACAGACAATAGCTGCTGATGCAGGTTCCCTCCATGTTAACTCTGTCCAACACAGACAATAGCTGCTGATGCAGGTTCCCTCCATGTCAACTCCGTCCAACACAGACAATCGCTGCTGATGCAGGTTCCCTCCATGTCAACTCCGTCCAACACAGACAATCGCTGCTGATGCAGGTTCCCTCCATGTTAACTCCATCCAACACAGACAATCGCTGCTAATGCAGGTTCCTTCCATGTTAACTCTGTCAAACACAGACAATTGCTCCTGCTGCAGGATGTTAGTATTTTTTAAATAACTATTTGGAACAGAAATGGTTAAGTAACAACATAATAATCAAAATAGGATGCATGGCCTAAGGTAAAACAGTTTTACCACTCCAAATTATTACAGATGTATTAAAACATCATCCACGATTCAAGCGTACAGTCACAATTGACAAGTTACCTCCACTGTCCAGGTCATGCGAAAATCACTAATGATCTTTCCAAGTCAATTATGCAAAATCAGAAAGCCATTTAATGAGACAGCAGACACAAACTTAGGTGGTATAAAAACCCAGACAGGAAAAAATCTGAGACACACAACAATATCTAATAAAACATACCCTTTGAAAGAAAAAAAAGATTAGAAAATATGTACACTTTCAAGACAGCATACAAAGAAAAAAAGTCTATGGAATGTTTAACTGCCAAATCAGCTTTGAATTACAATCAAGTAATAATAGATTGAGACTGTTAATAAACAACATCATGTAGAATTGGTCCCCTATAAATCATGTTTCACACAAGACTTCTTTTTGATAATCCATTTAATGGTGATGGCTTCACGGAAAAAAATTATGACACTAATTTTACAGAAAACAATACATAAATCTCATCTAAATTGTTATTACATCAAAACAAATGTGAGAGCTTTCCTTCAACAAAAACCTTTAATATTTGTTAATGTATTTTATCCTAAAAGAACAAGTAAACAATTCATCATAGGATCTCTCAAAGTGAAATCATGGTATGTTTCTAATAAGAAACCTAAATAGAGACTTCTTTAATCAAAACTATGCCAGTAAAAAAAAAAAATACAACGAAAAGCAATTTAAAGTAAGATCTGCTTCACATTAAATAAAAAAAGAGAAGGAAAAGGAAACCAATACAAATAAATAAGTTAGTAAACAGCTTTGTTGAACAACCAGTACTTATCAAACAAACATCACTTAGCTACTTCCATGAAGTAAATGATTTGACGAGGATAAATCTACACCATTTTACCAAGACAACAACTAACACTACAGTATACAGAGAAGACATGCAGCCATAATACAGAAATGTAATTATATTCAACTATCATTTCTCTATTATTTATTGAACTATCTTTCCTTGAACCATGTATCAAGCTGCAGATAACGCAAAGCTATTTTTTATCTAACTGGCAAAGGTTTGTTCCTTTATTTTAGACCCATCGTTTGACAATGAATTGATCTAGGGGAAAATCTACATCCATACACTATAGAGAAGTCGCTTCATGGGATGCCCCTTTCCTGGAATCTGGTTGTGTAGATGCTCTCTGGTAGTATTTACTCAGAATTGACTGTGGGATACGCTTCAACATTTCCTTGGGGAATATACGCAGCAACTGCCACCCGATGTCCAAGGACTCAAAGATTGTCCGTTTCTCATAATGACCTAGGAAGGGGAAAAAAATGCAATGAAAGATCCTAACATATGTCATATTAGAAACTAGGCTACATATGAAAAAAGAAATTACAATGCATAAATTAATAATGACAAATCACATGTTTCCTTGTGTCTTTCCTTGTAAAATGGCAAATTAACTGTTTCTAATCCAGGATATCAACCATGTGTGTTGGTTTACTACGTTTAGTCAGAGGATGTTAGAGAATCTGACTATGTAGTTTCTTTTACAAAGTGTGTATATTTGGTCCCTATAAAGTAATCCTCTTGTGACTTTTCTCTTTATTTCCTTCATTAGGAAACCACTTATCACCTTCTGGGTCAGAAAGATATAAACATTTTGTTGTGGGGAAATGAAATATTACAATTAGCCCTTTTGAAAATACACTAATTTGAGAGTCAGTGCAATGAGGATCCACTTCACTGCACCAGGTGTTATCCCATATGGCTCTGTCTCCCCCCCCACAGAACAGCCAGCTGTCTGCCGAGTGTGCTGCACAAAGCTCCGATGATGATACCCAAGGATTTCTGTAAAAACTGCACTCATGAACCGAGCGCCGCCGCGAAATGAACCCACGACCTCCAGAGCGTGAGGTGAACAGTCTGATCACTTCACCACACAGACCAACTATTATAATAGCGTTGATGTCTACTGAAGTGTCATGACACACTGGTTACATCCGACAACAAATTCAGCAGAATGCTTTAGTACACTTTAACAAGGCACAGAGACTTACTAGATATAGTGTTGTGTTCAGATCTTTAGCAACTGAATGGAAATATATGATAGTGTACCAGGGTGTGTGTTAACATTAACCAAGATTTACCTTCACCTTCATGTTAGTTCAATCTTCAGCAAAGGAAAATTTATTTCAGAACAGTGTGATTCTGGGGCCGAGTGTCTAATGAAGATAAACTCTTGGAAATTTTCACAATTCTGGGAAGTGCCTTGGAAGAAACTAATCACATAAACACTCATTTCCACATCACAATGGCAGTAAATAACATAGGGCTATCTTTATTTTTTTCATTCATAATGGACATTCACCATCATAACCAATTGTCATTTTTGTTGCTAAACGCTGGGGAAGAGAGAAGACTGTTTTCGATCCATTGCTTGGTGGGTAGCAGTAGCAAATGTCGTGCTGTGTTGAGTAAAAGCTCCTTAATGTCATCAACCAATCTTCTCCTATGGCGACCTCATGCTTTCTTTTCATGTATAGTTCCTGTGTTGGTACCTGTTCTGTCTGCATTCTAATGAGAGACCAAACCATTTGATCTTCTGTTTCTCAATGAATTTAGTGCATGGTGTTGTTCCTACAGTCCGTCTGACAGTATCATTTCACTCTTTTCTCAGGCATCTCATTTCCCGAGGTGCTAATTTTACTTAATGGAAAATCAATACAGTTAACTTGGCTGCTACCAGTCCTACAAGGCATTGTGAAACTATGGTCCTTAGATATGGGGTCGCGTTAGCACAGTCGATAAGAGGCTCGCTTTCAAACCCAGCGGCATCTCGCTGCAGCCCAAGGCTGGTGTTCGAATACGGGCGGTTCCTGGGGTTCACACAGCCTCTAGGAAATGGGTACTAGAGTTGACACTCTGGGGTAAATGGAGGAACGTCGCTGTAGCTACAGAGTTATGTGCGAACGGCGACACAGACGGACAATTATTATCAGCTGTCCGTACTGGTGGCAGAGAACTTATGGTTTATAACTGTGTGCAATGACGCTGGTTCACATCTCTCGACTTTACCTTTTTACATTAGATGTCTCACAAACAGGCATGTTATACTAACCTTGGGCGATGAAATTTTTCTCAAACTTGGTTAAGAACTCAAGGTAAAGCAAGTCCTCAGGGGTCAGGGCTTCCTCACCGACCACAGCTTTCATTGCTTGAACATCTTTGCCAATGGCATAACAAGCATACTGTCAAATATTAAGAGAAATTGTTCATTAGAAAGACATATGTATGTGTATGCATCCACACACCTCTCACTGAAATATGTACAAACATACATGTACATGTATGCAAACATATGATCTCTAGCTCTCAGTAGAATGTCTTGTGATTGTTGCAGTTACAAAAAAAACAGGATACAAGTTTACAACATTCAAGTATTTCAACCATTTTAACCCCTGTACTACGTAACATATGCACTTTAATGAGATTGTCTGTCAACATCTACACAAGGGGATTGAAACATGTAAGCAGCTATTCATGGGCAATTAAAGTGATCCCTCACTTTAGGTGAGAGAAATATGATAAATTAAAGCAAGAGTCTGGATAGAATAGCTGAAGTTGTTGACTGTTAGAGAATTACAAGTTGAAGCAGCAAACTGGGTTGTACCAAGCCAAAATTACAAGTGATCAGAAAAGAAGGATTTGAAACATAGAAACAAGAAATTATTCACTGACCTAAAGTTATATTTGATGCGCTACTAACATTCAAAGCTGTTAAGTGCTGCGCCTTTCTAACAAATTTCTTATACCTAGCTTGAGAAGGAAGGTGGAATTATCCACCACATTCTTCTCACAATGCTAACTGAGAAAGGTGGAGATAGATATGATTTGTGCAGAGTGGCAAGCAGCACTTTCAAAATCCGTAGTAGATAGCATCCTCTGGATATTTTCTCCAGGACATTCTGGTGTATGGGGGGATGAACAAGCAGACAGACTGGTCAGTTCTGCATCTCTGCACCACTTGGTGATAAAACTGATGCATGTTAGGGCCCCTGTGAGCAAGTGAACAGTGAGGCAGCACAAATACATCATGACACTGAAGAGAATAGAGCAGTGGGAAGTGAGCAGGGGATCTGGCAAACACTTCATATTCAGAGGAAAGACAAGAGGGACACAGAATCAGAATCCTACTGGTACTGTCAGAATTGCAACTCAACAGTAGTTGATGTCAGTCTGTAACTAAAGTCTAAAATTACTTATGAATCTCTTCTATCTAGTGATACTACTTTCAATTACTTACTAGCTGATTAGATACATCTGAATGATCCTCTCTTGTCATGCCTTCTCCAATTGCAGACTTCATCAATCTTGACAAGGAAGGCAGCACGTTGATGGGTGGATAGATCTAAGAAAATAAATGCATATCAAATAATTCTCCTTCCCTCTCCCATTCAATTATTTGTTATTATTCACGTCCTCTCTCAACAAAGAACAGGCCCTCAACAGACACTATAAGCCCTTTGTAAACAATCTATGACTGGATTTTGCAACTGGATTGTTAAAGGGTTGAGGGAGCTAAACTTACAACTCTCCTAAGATGCCTTTTATGACAATCATAATTACAGTATTATTCTTCCATTACTTCTCTCATGAGCCGAGACAAATATGGGAACAAGTCCTGGGAAGTAAAGGGCGACCGGCGTGATGTTGAACACATCATCCACTGTGTGCTGATTGGTCGATAAAAAATAAAGGTCTAGCCGTGCACAACTGAAGGTGTGGAAAAGGGTCCTTTTACTTCCCTCTGGTCTCTAGTAACACATAGGCAACTTACATAAACATGTGTAGTACGCCTAGTGAAGAGCCTTGTGACGCAAAAGAAGAAAAAAAAATCAAATGAGTTTACCTAATATTACAACATAGCACACGTTCGAGCATCTATGAGATTCACAAGATGCACTGTGCGGACAAAAACAACATGATTTCTACATTTTATTGTAAACATGCTAAAGAAAAAGTAGTTAAAGAAACAGACCACCATGTTAAGCCTGCTGAGAATGTTGTTTGATCAAATAAATGTTTCTGCTTACTCAATCATATACTTATGATCCCTATTCAGGCAAACAGACCTCAAGTAATAGTCTACTGACATGCGATAATACAAGGCTTAGTCCTGACTTTGCTTAGAAACAGGAAGAGAAAACAGCGAGGAAGAGAACTGATTTCTGACCCCAGAAAACCATGGCCTGGTTAGAATACTGTGTTGTAGTTTAAAGCCAGGTGCAACATCTGTAACTTTGGCCTAACAAATCTAATTAGTGGCATTTTACAATATTTTGTTAGGCACTAGAACCGACATAAAAAAAAAACATAAATGAAATAATAAACACCCAACATTCTTAAAAATGAAGTATGTATGTCATTCATACATTTATTAAAACAAGTCCACTCATAGTCAAATCAAATCTGACTAAAATGAAGCGTAAATAAAACTCATAGAAGGTACTTACTTGTCTGTTGTGCAACTGTCTGTCCACATACATCTGTCCCTCAGTGATGTAACCAGTCAAATCAGGAATGGGATGAGTAATGTCTGTATAAAAAAAAATAACTATGGTATGAGTAATGCCTGCATAAAAAAATATATAATCACTGAAACAAACAACAACTAATTAACCCTTTCACTCAAAAAGGCTGAAAACTCAACATTACAGCCCCTTAATAATACCGGTGACACCGCTGACCCGGCATTCGTGATTAGGTTAGTCTCCAAAAGGCTGAAAACTCAGCATTACTAATACCTGTGACACCGCTGACCCGGCATTCGTGATTAGGTTAGTCTCCAAAAGGCTGAAAACTCAGCATTACTAATACCTGTGACACCGCTGACCCGGCATTCGTGATTAGGTTAGTCTCCAAAAGGCTGAAAACTCAGCATTACTAATACCTGTGACACCGCTTACCCGGCATTCGTGATTAGGTTAGTCTCCAAAAGGCTGAAAACTCAGCATTACTAATACCGGTGACACCGCTTACCCGGCATTCGTGATTAGGTTAGTCTCCAAAAGGCTGGCTTTACTAATACCGGTGACACCGCTTACCCGGCATTTGTGATTAGGTTAGTCTCCAAAAGGCTGAAAACTCAGCATTACTAATACCGGTGACACCGCTTACCCGGCATTCGTGATTAGGTTAGTCTCCAAAAGGCTGAAAACTCAGCATTACAAATACCTGTGACACCGCTTACCCGGCATTCGTGATTAGGTTAGTCTCCAAAAGGCTGAAAACTCAGCATTACAAATTATATGGGGCGTTGGGGGGAATTGCAGATGAAATAAGAAGCTTTTTAAAGGTATGATAATCATATCTCTCTTCTTACTAAGCTGAGTAAAAAGGCCATAAAAATAGGTCCAAGAGACTTATGTTTATTTATTAATTGCTGCCATAATTTAAAGTGTTTTTAAAATTGTATATAGATTAATTGTTTTTAAAAAAGTATTGGCGATCTTTTTATTTTTAAGGAATTCCCAAATTCTGGTCTTTTTTTTTTTCTTCTTTCTCTAAAGGGTTCTGGGGTTAAAGAGTTTAACAGAAAAAATATACATAAATCCCAGACATGTTGTTTTATATAAACAATTTAAGCTATTTATAGTCTAGAATAAACAAAGTTCAAGAAGCATCTTGGGTATTCCAAAAATAATTTTTTTTTCGGAAATGCCGGTGTGTTGGGAAATAAGCATGCAGATAGACTGGCTGGTTCTGCACCACTTGGTAATGAACTGATGTGTGACAAGCTAGATGTTGTAAGAGCCCTTTGGGAACGAGTAAACAGTGCCGAGGAACAGATAGATATTTACGGACTGAGGAGAATGGCACAGCGAGGAATTACAAGGGGATCTAGCTGACGCTCGACACTCATGGGAAAGGTGAGACGGAAATACAATCAGACAGTAACTGGTACCATTGGAATTTAAACTCTTCGCTTGCTGTCGAAGATGGGGATGGAGCGCTTATGGAGGGGCCCCGAGTGCTGTGATGTCGATTCCTAATCAACATATTTTTCAAAACAATGACCCTCAATGACGTTAAAAACAGGCAAGAAACCTGTGAGAATTCCCACCCCAAAAAAAAAGTCTTTTTTTTTTAATCACACTAAACAGGTCACTGATAAATAATATTTTTTAAACATTTTTTATCTGCCTTTTACATTTTTTCTTGAAAAATAAAATTTTTTTTTTTTTAAATGAATAGAGCAAAGCATTAAATGGAATACACTCGCAGCTTTAAAAATATGTACTCAGCAATTCATGTGAAAACCTAGCGACCTCTGTTAAGAGGCTACATGAAAATCTGATGTCAATATGACTTGACCCTACCAGACCTGAGGCCCTGAAACTAACTGTCCCCTGGGCATTAACATGAAAAAACCAACATGATATACAAAAATATTAGTTACATGCAAACAAGTGGTTAGAATGAGTTGAAACTTGGAGACATTGTAGAAAATAGGTTTACCTTTCATCTAGCGCCATTATTTCATCTTAGTGTGCAAATCTACCCAGAAAGATCGGCATTGTTTCACAAGGTGAGCACCAGATTTTGCTGTTTGAGGGACACGCCCCCTTTTCTTACTCAAGCTCACACTGACTCTTTCACTTCAACCAAAAACGTATTCTTCATGAAGATTCTGACTTATCAGAGTTTAAATCAACCAAAGTATCGATCACTTGTTGGACTGTGAAAAGCCTAGACCTACTTCACTTTCCTGTCAAAGTGCCTGGTTTTATTGTGAATTTTCAGAATTTTTTCGCATCAAACCACACAAAGAAAATTCAGACACACCTGGGCAGCAATTAGCGCAGCAATGACTACCCACGAGGTCTGATTATGACTGGCTAGTTATTTTTAGTTTGTGACGCATTGTTTTCTCATACTACGCAAATTCATGACATTGAGGGACAACGGTTTAGCGGAAGATTAGGAGATTCCCAAAATAGTGGGCCAGCAGTCTGGTAGAGTTAAACAAAGCCATTCAGCCTACAAGGGAAAACCTAAATTAAACTTCTGGTAAATATATTCATATCTGGGTCTCCTAACTCTCTGCAGGTGTAAAAGGAACTAATGACATTAAACTATGCTTCTCTTAAACAGGTCACTAAAGGCATGCAGGTTTCACAGTGAGGGAAATATCTGGGGTAACAAAGCTGAGCATTTTACAAAGGCTTAGGGAGGGGTTTAAAAAAACACAATAAAAGACAGGGTTAAAATAGATAAAGAACACAATAAAAGACAGGGTTAAAGAAGATAAAGGAGAGGAAAACCCAAAGTAACCTTACCGTCATTTGGCATAGTAAGAATAGGAATCTGTGTGATGGAACCATTGCGACCTTCGACACGACCAGCTCGCTCATAAATAGTAGCCAAATCAGTGTACATGTAACCTGGGAAACCACGACGACCCGGCACCTCTTCTCTAGCAGCTGACACCTGGAAGGAATAGATAAATTACTGACAAGTAAAAGTACGAAAACCTGGCTTCCACACAAAATTAGGCTATGGTTAGGAACACAATGGTTAGATTAAGAAGATTATTAATACAATTCATAGTAAACAACCCTCAGTACCGCAGCAAAAACACCTAGACTGCCAGGTGGCCATGAATGGGTACCAGCTAAAGTTCTGGGCTACATGATGATTCCATCACCAACAGAGTGCTGACTGGCCTATATAATATAGGTATGACACTAGTATGCCCAAATGCTTGGGAAAGGGTCTTTACTTACAGAATCAACCAAATAAAATATGAAATATCTTAGACATTTCATTTGTTTCAAACATATGGAAGTCTTCTGCAAAAGCTACTAAATTACTGGGAACGTCTTATGTACAGAATGTGTTTCAATGTTTACTATATAATTTTGGGGGGCCTCTTATACATGAGAAGATATAGGCTATATTACCATGAGTTTAGTTACAGATAATAAGCACTGAATTAACACATACCTCTCTCAGGGCTTCAGCATATGAGCTCATATCAGTTAGGATGACTAGGATATGCTTCTCACACTGGTAGGCCAGGTACTCGGCTGTAGTCAAGGCAATACGAGGTGTGATGATTCTCTCAATTCTGTTAACAACAGATACCCACAATTAAAATATGATGAAAACTTTTATGTTATCGGCCATGTTATGAGAAGAGGGAAAATAGAACATGTTGTGACCACTGGAAAGATATGTGGAAGAAGAGATAGAGGAAGACAACGAGAGAAGATGCTTGACAGTCTTGTTGCATGGCATGGAGGTGTGTCGGCATACAAACTGATACATGCTGCAGGAGATCGCAGATTATGGAGAGGCATGATCGCCCACGCCAGTCGGCAAGGCACCTGATGATGATGATGAAAACCGTAGACTGGTTTCAATAACCAGACCACAATATGTCTAAGTAAAGTTAAAGGACCTTTTTCCACACCTTCAGGCGTATTCGGCACATAGGGCTAGACCTAAATTTCACAGACCAATCAGCACCTGGTAGGTGATGTGGTCAGAATCGAGCTGGCCGCCTTTACTTCCCAGGACTGTACCTGGTACCAACTCAAGGCGAGCGTCCAACCTCTACACCACAGCGACTCCCTACAACATGAACTAATGAACTGCAAATATTCATTAACAGATCTCTGTGCAGAAAATAAGGACAAAGGTGATATGATAACATCACAGGCATTGAATTAATGTACAAATGCCAGTTAATCAAGGAGTGAGAAAGAAGCTGCTGATGGATAGGGCAACCATTGAAATATAATCAATAAATAACCCAATAGTCCTTTCATGTTGGATATTTTTGAGTCTGACAAACAGGGAGGCTAAACACAAAAAGGGAAGAAAAGTTGAGAAAATGGGAGAGAAATTAAACGGGCTTACAATAAACATAACATATGTCGAATGGATACTCGGATTAATGCAATCAGTATTTTGTGGAGGTTATCACCCTGACAAGACAGTGCCGTGATTTGGCGCCACAAAATGATAATGCAGAAGTGAAAGTATTGTTGGGGAAATCTGAATCTGATTGGGACAGGAAGTCTGGTCCTTTCAATTGAAGCAAAGTAAAATCATGCAAGAGCTCACAGTTGTGATAAAAACTAATACAGAATAGGAGTTGTCAGATAAACACATTAAGAAACATGTAAAGGAGAAGATCAAAGCACTTATGGGAATACCAGGCTTGCAATGAAAACCTGGCAATGAACAACAATTAATTAAATTCTTCTTAAATAACTGCTTACGTTGGATCATTGGCCAAGTTCAAGAACAAAGACACATTTTCCATCGAACCATTTTCCTCAAAGTCCTGCTTGAAAAACCTAGCAGCCTCCATGTTAACCTGAAACATTTATATAATTATTATCAAAATGGAAAGATTAAAACATACAATATTGTGGATTCCTGAGAAGGGTCTGTTGTGGAAAAAGTTCAAGCTTGTAATGTAGTTAGTTTCAATTTGTTTCTGCCAATTCACCATTAAGATACTAGCCAGGCGTACACACAGAGAGAGAGATAGAGAAGGAGAGAGAAAGAGAGAGAGAGAGAGAGAGAGAGAGAGAGAGAGAGAGAGAGAGAGAGAGAGAGAGAGAGAGAGAGAGAGAGAGATGTCTTTTCTTTTTCAAAATTAAATTGTGAAGTCTTCAAATACCATAACATGAAGTTACTAAAACATAATTGCAATAACATGCAACTTTGAAAGTTCTGAACAATCGCTCATCTTACCCCCATGGCAGCGAAAACAATGGCAAAGTTATCATTGTGGTCATCCAGCACACTCTTTCCTGGCAACTTGACTAGACCAGCCTGTCTGCAAATCTGGGCTGCAATCTGCATGAAGAGAACATTCACAGTGGCTGTATAAAATGTAAACCTGGCAAATTAACAGATACGGGATTAGAATTTCATAAAGTCTTTATCAGGTGCACATGTTTCCACAACAGAAATACTTGCATTTAACAGTTTAAGTAGGTTAAGGATTTTTCTCGTGCCATAAGCATAAGAGTACTAGATCTATATTTTATAGACGAATCGGACGTGGTCAACATTACACAAACATAACTATTTATCTTTCTATGTTTAATGCCTAATGATCCGTTTCCAAGATAGTGCACACTCATCAGCTAGCTGCATGATGATACTGTTGAGGTTCAGAAGTTGTCAACTCCATCTATCCAAATTCTTCTTGGTCTTCCTCTGCAGCTTGATGTTTCCATTCTCATGCTGTATGCTCTTGTAACTGGTGATGCTAACCAGATGGCTGAACCATTTCAATCTTTATTTTTCAATAAATCTAATCAAAGGTGTTGTTTCGGCCATTCTAATATCTTTTTTTTAATGATCTTTTTCAGCACACTTGATTAAACAAATTAAAATTCTTCATTTTCTAAAATGCGGGCCTATGCTAATTAAAGTTCACAAAAATAGTAAACAATTCAATTCAGGTCAATCTACTAAAGAGGAAGTGAACGACCATGCAATTAAGAACTCTGAATCCTTGGAAAGACTATAGCATTTTCTGATCAGGCCAAAAAATTAATTCCTAACGTGCAGTCCACAGAAGTGCAGTCCACAGAAACAGCACTAGCTGCACAGACCTTAATCCTTAGACCAATATTTTCCCTTGTCCTACTTCCATATAAACTGGTAACATTAGGCAGTTTAAAAAAAGCTTTGTAAAAAAAACTAATCAAGTGTTAATTAATCAATCATGTCTTTATTATTGCTGAACCTCAGACACTTATCTTAATAAACTAATTAAGTGTTAATCAATTAATGATGTCAGTTCTGGCTGTCTTTCAAAACATTGCAATGGATAAAACTTATCAGTGTTCCCCATATGTAAAGTCTGGTGGCAATTTCTGGTTGTTTGTCCACTTCTAGATCTTGGTCTGGATCCAGAACTTGAGTGTTGCATGTTCATCCATTTTACAGATCTGGATAATTTGTAAATATATCTGAATTATGTGTATGCAGACTGTTGGTTCCTTACCTCTCAGACAGGTGCGCTTTTTTTAAGGAAAAACCCATAATCAGTCACGCCCTATGACATGCCCATTGAGGGGAGTGTTCTCTAGAATGGAGCCTAGGAAGCCACGAGGAGATAAATGAAACAAACCTCATTATGTGGAAGACCAGCAGCGGAGAAGATAGGAATCTTCTGCCCACGGGCAATACTGTTCATGGTATCAATAGCAGAAATACCCGTCTCAATCATCTCTTCTGGGTAGATACGTGACCATGGGTTAATGGGCTGACCTGATGGTATCAAGAGAACAGTGATTTAGCATATTCTACAAGTTACAATTTTAGAATGAACTGAAAGGAAAAGTACACAACAAATGTACATCACCATACAATGTAAATAAATCAAATTTAAAAATAAATTAAATTAAATGTTTCAAGTCTATCTCACACACGTGTAGAAAATGGACTCATTATGCGCACATCTAGATATATAAAAATCAATGTTTGTGTGTTTGTTTATAGCCTATAGACGTGGAAACTACTGAACCGATTTAGCTGAAATTTTCAGGATATGTTTGTTTTGATACCGGATGTTTACCAATCATGGTTTGAAATTCAACATGTCACCGTTAGAGATAGTGTGCGAAAATTTTTGGAAAAATCTTTGAAACTAATATTTCAATTTTTTGTGACATTTAATTATAGCCACGTTAGTTAATGCGATTTTTACCGTGCATGCGCAGTAGTGGCGTTCCATCGTCAACATCCGCCCGCGACATTTAAGTTATATTACAAGGAAAACAATTGCCATCGGTTTTTAGTTGTGTTATCTAGAAATATCTAAAAAGGTAAGAGCATTTATTTCAGTAACATTAGCTGTTACATGTACAAGTTTTTTGTTAATTTCAAACATGTGTGGACCACTTCTTAAATCCTGCAATGATAAATGGGCTCTCCTTTAAATAACGGACGCTAGCTGGAAGGCGACGGCCGCTTAGTCGGAGTTCACACCCCTGGCTGCATGCCACCCCATGTTTTAACTTTGAAAGTTGGCGTGCCTATCATTCTTCTCAGAAACACCAATCCGCCACATCTTTGCACTGGTACCAGGATTTCAGTAAAAAAGAAGGTGTCCAATACCATCGTAAGTACAATTTTACATGAACATTTAAGGGCCAGGATATACTATTGCAACGCAATTCCAACAGACATGCCATTCGAATTCAGACGCTTGCAATTTTTGGTGCGACTCGCCTTTGCAACGACCATCAACAAATCACAGGGACAATTAGAACAAGTGTGTGGACTACATTTGGAACATTCATGCTTTTCACATGGACAGCTATGTGTGGCCTGTTTACGCCTCAGAAAACTACCTGATTTATTCGTGTACGCACCAGGCGGACAGACCAAGAACATTGTATGCCCAAAAGCCCTTCAGTAAACAATTACAATGACATTTTAAATTGCCTGTTGTTTTCCTAAGGATATGTAAACAGCACAATGATCCAATATTAATATTACATACTGTTATATCGACTCCTTTCAATTGAATTTCTATTGGAGGCGTAAAAGCGCGCGCTGGGTACAGTTTACCATAGCGCTGATTTCATAATTACGGTGTATTATCCCTGTTTTCATTGCTTTTCACTTGGGTAATTTTTCCAACTACTTCGGTGAGGGAAAGAGTAGTTGGTGAATGGGGGAAGGGGGACATAAACTGTTTACTAAGATAGATTTAAGTCACAGTAACTGCCTTACCCACTCAAAGTAGCAGCAGTAGTAGTAGTTGTGGTTGGGAGGTTGCACCGTAGGGCTGTCATGTTTTAGGAAAGATACAAATCTACAGGAGTGAAGACATCCTAAATCGCTGGCGTAACACGAAGCAAGATTTCTTTTTTCTTTATTTTCAGTTTAGCCAAACTATGCCATAGCAACGCGTGGCCGGGTACAGCCAGTTACTAGAATAAAACTTAAGAATAAGATGAAAAGATTGTGCGTTATCTGAACGATTTAGAACATAGAATACTAAAAAAAAAACGATATCTGAAGCAGCAGAGAAATCAAATGTCACCAAGTTACCTTGAATGTCCAGATAATCCTCAGCCAAAACATTTGGCCCATTGTCAATTGGTTTCCCTGATCCATTGAAGATACGACCTGGATGGAGAAGAAAATAACTGCTGATAAATTTTTTTTTTAAATGATTTACTAACCAACATTACACTCAAATAATAACGAGATTACAATCTGGCTTAAAATTTAACTTCCAAGTTAGGATTAATTGTAAACTGCCTGTACCTACTATTTTTGTGATGTGTGTGGGGGATTCTTTGAGCCAGAGGATTTAGAGCCACAGAAAAAAAGTCCAAAACCTCACTGGGTATTTGAACGCGAGTAACTCGCACGACAGCCCTGCGATTTTAACTGTTCATCAGGATTAATTATAACAGATCCTCAACACCACCCCCCCCCCCGTATTATTTTTAGACTTGTAGAGTGTTCTTTCCTATTCCTTTTGTGCCCCCGACTTCTCCTTGAAACAAAGGAACAAAATCATGCATAGACTTATTCATGAACTGGTTAGATTTTTGCAACTTAAACCTTTTTAACGCATACTGTAGCCAGTCTCATACGAATCTTTGTCATGAAATACCAGCTATTCATCTTCAGAGCAAATTTTGAGGAGGCAGTGGGTCTATTCTTGTTTTCCCACAACGGGGCCCCGGAACCCACACGGGGGAGTACTTAAGTGAATCTTATCAGAACTACTTTTTGGCCAACACTATGCTATCAGTGCCAGATGTGGACACTTACATATTCTAATGAACGTAAAATTGTGACAACAGAGATGAAATATCTTAGAAGAGCTGCAGGAGTTTCAAGGAAAGACAACATTAAATCAGACGAATGGTAGGAATAAAGCCAGTTGTACAGGTCATCAAAGCACAACAAATTAAGTGGTTTGGACACCTAACAAGAATGCCCTGGTACTATCAACCACAGCGAGCCACACTAAAATGTTACAACAGGTATAGTGCAAGCGGAAGACCTCGAAAAAGATAGAGTGATGGTATTAGGAACAGCCTTACAGAAAAGAACGTCAGTCTCTTGACAGAGCTCATCAAGGAATGTTACCCCCCCTCCCCCGAAACTAAGCTGAGGTACAAGGTGGAAGAAAAGTAGCAGTTGGATCAGGGCCTATAAATAAAGGGTAAACGAAATTCCCACTTTAGAAACTTTGGAAGAAGGCAGGAAAGGTTTAGGAATTTGCCACTTACAGACATTTCGTTATAGGCATGCTTCCGGTTATGCAGCATGCAGCACTTTCCACTGATGAAGTGTAAAGGGAGGGCTGCATTTTCGCTATTGATGTACTGAGAGACTTGTACTTTCCACTAAATAGGTGCTGAGGGGTACTTTTTTCCTGACCAATGACAATTATAGATAAATTTGGGTACTGTAGGATGTTTAAGTGTATCAACAAACCTGACATATCCTCAGAGACAGGCATTCTTAAGATGTCTCCAGTAAATTCACACCTGGTGTGCTTCGCATCAATTCCTGATGTACCTTCAAATACCTGAAAGACACACAAAAAGACAATGTAGTGAAATGAAATAGAATATTACAATATCAAACCATAATCTATGGGCTTGGCTTAGATGTACCGTGTTTATCTTTGACTACAAAATAGAAAGAATAGTAAAGGATCATTCTTCAGCCTTGATGCATACTGGATACATTCTTCTACATTTATTCAAAGATGTAAATGCCCTGCTGCCGTTTCCATCTTGGCTGCGTTATTTTCATTTTTCGGCCGACACATCTCACTTCTGCTAGCACTCATTGATGGGTTAGCCTTCCCTGTTAGTTTCTAGGGACACTGCAGTCTCATCAGGTTGGTCCAGAAAAGCCATGTAATGCTGGTCAGTCCTTGAGAGAAGGCAGGGGCAGAACGAGCATTCCCTGCCATCCAAGGAGGCTTCCATTAAATGCATAGCCAATGCACGCTGCTCTGGTACTGGGCTCACCCAAGGAATCGTCTTGTCTTGCTCATGGCTGTTTAACCTCACTACTGTATGCTGGGCCTCTCATACATCACAGGCTATGTTCTTAGAAGCCAGCAGGAGGCAGCCTGCAGACCTGGCATTTTGATAATCTATTCAAAAAAGTCAGTTTTATATCACATTTCAAACATAGATGGCTAGGGGCATTCAGTGTGGCAGTACATGAACAGATGGTCTGTCAGTTCAGTTTTTGTGGGAACTGTCTGTTTATCACTTTTCTTCTTTAAATGTAGAAATATTACTTTTAGGGATAATACAAACAGGTAATTTAGAAGCCATATCTGGAGAATATCGACAGTTGTCAGGTGCAAACTATCTTGTGTTTGAAGAAAACTATTGCTTTCATACTGACTGTGTGGCGCGGTGATTTATGTCACAGGCGTGAGGGGAAGTAAAACCAATATGATGTGTATAAGGAGATACTCCGTACGCCACTCTGGTGCCAGTCCTTCACTATCCTGGTTGTACGGAACCTCACGCAAGACCCCTACAGCACGTCCTCGTCGTGCGCCACGGATAATGTCTCAAATGAGCATTAACAGAGCTGTCAGGGGATCTCGGAGTTCGGCGGCCCCCAGAGGTGATGTGTCCTTGTGGTCCTCATCAGCCCGCCCCCAAACGCTGTTGGTGAGAAAATGTTATCAAAAACTAATTAGGAAACATGAGTAGGTTTGCCAAACAAATTACAGCCAAAATTACAACCCATGGTTTAAAAGACTGCCGAGTAAAGAGAACATTGTTCACTGCACATCCTCGGTTAACCCTCAGTGTCGTCGTCACCGCGCTGAGGTACACCACAACAGCAACCATCCATAGGCTGACCCACCTTGTACATCCTCGGTTAACCCTCAGTGTCGTCGTCACCGCGCTGAGGTACACCAAAACAGCAACCATCCATAGGCTGGCCATTCATGTACATCCTCGGTTAACCCTCAGTGTCGTCGTCACCGCGCTGAGGTACACCACAACAGCAAACCATCCATCGGATGGCTAAGCCTAAATGTCCGACAAAAACTAGATCATACGGATCAAAATTGTATTGAACTGAAAAAGACCGAATGTCCACACCCAAAGACCCCACTCGCCCAAGTGTAGGGACAAACTGATAACGATATGCCTGATGCAGGATGTAAAATTCTATTGGGCTAGCGGCTCGTCAAAGAAATCTAACGTGCGAAGAAAAAAAGAATGTACCTATCTGTGTGGTCCACAAAAGTCCAAAACCCACGGGGCTGCTCCCCGCTGACTTCCAGAGGGCACAGCCCCTGTCGAGCGGGAGGCCTGATACGGTGTGTGAGGTTAAGCAGGCATGTGCAGGACGTGACGATTTCCTTGGGTGAGCCCAGAACCAGAGCGCCATGTGCCGGCTCTGCATGCATGGAAGCCTCCTTGGATGGCGGGGAATGCCCATGATCTGCCCCTGCCTTCCCTTGAGGGCTAACTGTTCACAGGAGGCTGCCCCAAAGGGGTACTCCGGGGGCAATACCTGCGGCGAAGGAGACAAAGTGGACACCACACAAATCAGGCAACGTCTCGACCCACACAAAACAATGGCCACAGTCAACCTAGAAATAGGCCTGACGTCTTCCTTCGAAGTCGGAGTACAGCTGCCCATGAGGCAGGGAAATGAAAAACGGTTGTCCACGCAAAAATCAGGTCCAGGTGAAAGCTCTAGGAAAGTGGATGAAAATAATATTTACTAACTAACCTCTCACAACAAGTCACTCTTCGCCTCTTTACTAATTGTTGACTAACAGTATAATTATAAGTTGTAGCAGTACACTAATAATATAATTCCTTAACCATTTGACTTATGCTTCGCGAACACTGGCTGTAATTTCTTGCGGAAACTTCTGGTTGCTCATCGACTTCTTTTGCATATTTGCAGTTGTACGGCCTGTGTTAATTTTTGTAAACTGGCTTTTGCTTCGCTTCGCGAACACTGGCTGTAAACTCTTGCGGAAACTTCTGGTTGCTCATCGACTTCTTTTGCATATTTGCAGTTGCACGGCCTGTGTTAATTTTTGTAAATTGGCTTTTGCTTTGCGAACACTGGCTGTAAACTCTTGCGGAAACTTCTGGTTGCTCATCGACTTCTTTTGCATATTTGCAGTTGTACGGCCTGTGTTAATTTTTGTAAACTGGCTTTTGCTTTGCTTCGCGAACACTGGCTGTAAACTCTTGTGGAAACTTCTGGTTGCTCATCGACTTCTTTTGCATATTTGCAGTTGTACGGCCTGTGCTAATTTTTGTAAACTGGCTTTTGCTTTGCTTCGCAAACACTGGCTGTAAACTCTTGCGGAAACTTCTGGTTGCTCATCGATTTCTTTTGCATATTTGCAGTTGTCAAGATGTAAATTAAAACATACAACATGTTAGCCAGTAACAAACGGCATTACATTAATACTGTAAATTTTTTTAATTGAAAACTAAAAGGGATAGTCACGTACAAAATAGAGATGGTCCAATATAAAGTACATACAAAATGTAAACACTAATTACATAGTCTGGTGTCATTCACTCAAGCTCCTGTGCTGACAAAAATTGTGTTTTATTATAAGTTACACTGACAATTACCTAAAACATCAGCAGTTTAGAACATACCTCTACTTATTAATTTCTACTTACCTGGACAACGGCTTTCGAGCCCATCACCTCAAGGACCTGCCCACTCCTTTGTGATCCATCAGCAAGAGTCAAGCAGACAATTTCAGCAAATTTGGGGAACTAAATTTAGAATTAAAATGACAATGATGAACTTACAAAATAAAGGATCACACATATAGTTAGGCAACCAATATTCTATCATGTATAGATGACTATTTTTGCAACTTTGTCAGCTGAGGCGAATGAATGAATCATTGCATTCGGGACTTTCCCGCGCATACTCCTTCCCCTTCTTCAGAACCCAACGACGAGCTAATGGTACCTGTCTAAAAGTCTGCCCATGTCCCCTTCGATGCTGAATATTATCCAGCTCCCCCTCCCCACCCCTTGAACTGGTCTTTGTGTATGTATTCCCTGTTTCTTGCACTGTACAATGTCCTGTAGGCATGTCAATTTGATCTTATAGAGCCTTCACCACATATGCTTGATCATATAGTACCTCACTGCTCAGGTTACTATATAGCCGAGGTGAGAAAGTTAACAGCTTCAGTGAGCTAATCACAATATATCAAAATGAATTAGGAAGCCAAACAGATTAGCATTTTTTTTTAATTTCAATTTGTTTCCCCTCATGTATAGCTGTACACTCTGGCGGAAAGTTCTGGTTGCTCGTCCACTACTGAACTGCAGTCCTGCTCCAGAACCTGAGTGTTGTGTGTGCATCAGTTTTACAGATCTCATTCTCTTGAATACAGACTGTTGGTTCCTTGCCTCTTCGGCAGATGCACTCCGACTTCTTACGACATGCTTTTGGGGAGGCAGTGGGTCTATTCTTGTTTTCCACACAATGGGGCCCCGGAACCCACACGGAAAAATGATCCAATTGAAACTATTTAAAAAATGTGGGGAACATACTATCCTACATATGCAAAATATGGTATGTGCACACCGCAGAGGTGTGGGTATTCATAGAAATAATGAGAAAACTATGAACAGATAAATTTTTTTTTAAATAAAAGGTCTTCAGAGAGAACGGATTATCTGTATCAGAAAAGGTCACCACTCATTCGGTAGGTATGTCATAAAAAGGGGAAACTGAAATACAGGGAAGTTGCAGTGGGAGAGTAACAGGAGGAGAGCCACAAATCATCAAAAAATTGTAGATAGCATTAATGCAGTTGACATAAATGAACAAACAATATTAAATAAATTGTAACAAGAGGATTATATTTCAAACAAGAAAGTTACTCTGCTGTTATAAAGCTGTCAGTATGGTTATCTGAAATGAATATGTATATACAAAAAGAAAGTCAATCATTCAAGGAGTCTTTAAAAAAAAAACTTGTAATGGAAAATTATGTATTTAAAACACTTTACAAAAGAAGGTTACAATCTTGATATAGTTTTAATGCTGCTACATGACAAGAGAATGTGAAAAAAAGTGTGATAAATCAGTCAAAAAAGATATCATCATCATCATCAAGTGCCTTGCCAGCTGGCGTAGATCTCTTCACAGATCTCGGTCTTTGGTGTTCTGGATCAATTCCACGGATGATATTCCTCCATGACACTGTCTTATCCATGTGGATAAAACATCACATTATCCTCTTAAGAATTCTAAAAAGATCTAGGGGATAAAAAATCTTGAATGAGAAATTAGATGTCACCAACAGATATGTTTTTATTTTCTTACCTTGACATTGTCCAAAATGACCAACGGTCCATTGACACCTGACACTGTCCTGTAAGCTGAAAAGTAAATGTGGATACCTTATTTGTTTTTCCTCACTCAAAATATTAGAATAAATATCAGTGTACTATTCAAATTCCTTAAGAATGTGACATAGCTCATACAACAGCCAACTGCCCATCCACATAAGCCTTTTGAAGAATGTTGATAGAAATTTAACATAACAAGCTTAGCATACAAGAAAACTGTTCTTTCTAACAAACATCAACAATGCTGCACATTAACAATAAAAACTGTAGATAAATAAGCAAAAAACAACAGAAGGCTGAGAGTTAAAAAAAAAAAAACCACAATGTTAGAAAGTAACCAGAATTGTCAAAAATGGCATAGAATAAGAAAAACAATAAGACAAAGGTACAATAAGGATAACTCAACTATCATTATTTTTTAAAGATGAAGAAAATATATATGTACTGCTTTGGCATCAAAACAGCACAAAGTATGGACTCAGACTGATGTCTGCTTTCTATAATTATCAGACATGACAAAAATCCAATGAAGGAAGTAAGAAATGTGTATGTTTTAATTGTCTAAACAATGAAATAAGGCAAGATATATGTTTCATTGAAATAAATAAATAAGACTGAATTTAACAGAACAGGGCTGTGCTTAATCTATCTGTTTGATGGAATATGTTTGACATGATAACCTTGCCAGGTGTGACCTTCTGATATTAAAGACATATTGACATTGAAATTAAAGTAATAATAAAGTGACCAAAGACGTTTTTGTTCTCAAGCTATAGTGAAATTCCATTATTAATATATATACAAGAAGGGAAACAAAGAACTGCACTTTTATACTCTTATTTTTGTTAAAGACAGTGAAATGTATAGAGTGTTGTGATAAAAGTTCAAACAAGTTATTCCTTGCTAACCTCTAATAAATCACCAGCTGCAAGGTTAATAATGCCAAAACATCAAGTGATACTGCAGCTCAATCAGTGTCTCCCTCAACCAACTGCATGACAATTCTCAATTCTCACAATCATTTTTCACGAAGAGAATGTTAATGTGTCTAGTCAATTGTTAATGTAACAGTCTAGTAGTAGATGAGAGTACTAGTATTAAATATTATGTGTGGTGGTGTAGAAAAACTAAACAAAAATTTCATCAATTATGAAAATAAAAAATCATTTTAGAGAGGAAAGAACATAAATAAATATCCCTAACATAGAAATCTGAACATCTTTGGCTACTACTGGAACTCAGTCAATTTCAGTCATTAGCAGTTAAGTGAGTGGTAGGTCAGGAAAATGAATGAGTGGGTTCTTTCTAGTCTACACTCAGCTGATGTCAATGTCAATATTTTATAAAAAAAATAAAATAAAATAAAATGGCCCGTTAGGCCTCATTAAGGACCAAACAACACAAAGAAGATATGTGAATTTGCTAATGTAATGTAAAGAGAGTAAAATATACTGATATAAATAAATTATAATAATAAAATGATGAGTTGCTCCTATCTGAAGTTGAAGTATGATCTGTCAGACTGTAATCTCTGGCCCCTGTGTAGTGGCCAGATATAGTCACCGGTAAACTGACGACCAAAAAACGCTCAAAACACATAAAATGCCCTTACTAAAAACATATTTTACAATAAATACTTACTCAACCTCGGCTGTGTGATATAATCTCGTGTGACAGCTAATTTATGAGTTCTATTAGCTGCAATTTCATTCAGAGGTCCGTTCAGAGAATTTATTTTGATCGTCGCCATCTTGATGTGTTGTTTATCATGTGAGGATCATGAGCTTCCTGCGGAAATGACGGGTTTTTCAGCTGCGGCCGATTTAAATATTAATCGCTAGGGGACACCTTGGGCTATTGAAATTTTAAAAAAGGCGTCGTGGAGAGATATTATTCGAATAAAATATGTGTCCTGTTAGCCACATAATAACTAGTATCCTACATATAAGCATTAATAATTTTATCAAATTATTCCTTTTAAATATATTTACTTTATAAGATGGAGAGGGTTTCCCCAGCTATCATTGTTGATGTTATTTTTTGTTTCGTCACAGCTGTTCAATTTGGCCTCTTGAGAAAACCCGAAAATAACCGCAAACGTACAAACATTACATTTATAGTCTTGAAATGTCATTCTTTAATTATTTTTAGGCTATCCTGCGACTAACGGTCGTTAAATATGGCGGCCGCAAAATATTCTTTCGAGCAACAGTCGCGAGTCACTTGCGCACTAGCGGTCACGAGCACACCGCGGCTGCTGCTCGTGGGTCCTAGCCATCTAGTTTAGCCACATTCCACGCCGCGTGAGCAACGTGGAAAGGGGGGGGGGGGGGGGAACAAGTCGGCGGTGGCGATAGTCCCCGGAAAACCGCCGGAGAACCGCAAATTAAGTTACGCCTGTGGCTCGAAAGGATATTTTGCGGCCGCCATCTTTATCGACCGCTAATCGGAGGAAAGCCTATTTTTTAATTTGCATTTCATCATCTTGCTCTACGCTGTGTTTCTTTGCGTAGGTTTTCCTCCCTGTGTTTTTTTTTTTCTCTCGGCAGCCGATTGTCTTTTATACCACCATCATCTTCAACCACCACTGTTGCCGTTAAGCGGCTTGGGGAGGAACTATCCATTGATTTGTGTGTAACAAAGAATATTGTCATTACGTGTCAATGTAGAAGCTGTTTAATATCATCAGTTTATGTTCTCCTAGGGCGACCTCTTGGTTTCACATCATATCTTTTTTTTTATGTGGGGCACCTATGTTGGTAATTGTTTTGGCTGCACTCTAACGAGGCAGTCGGAACATTTGATCTCCTGTTCCTAGGTTAATTTGGTGAATGGTGTTGTTAGCACAGTCTGCCTGATAATATTTCTCACTTTGTCTCGTATGGTTAAGTTGGCGACCTTTCTCGGGCCTCTAGTTTAACAGTTGTTAATTTTACGTAGGTTAGCCTCGTCTAGCAGAGTGTTGAAATTATGATATGCTGTTAATACTATGTTTATTGGCGCTCTTACTTCTGTTATGACCTAATAATAAATAGTGTCGGTTGGTATATAAGTGTATTAGCAATTTCTCGATCTATTCCTCCGTCCTCCGAAAATATACTTCCGAGATATTTAAAATCATTAACTTGCTTTGAATAAAAAGTACCAGACAACCCACTGCACTAACAACGTTTAGTATCTTGTTCAGCACACTGTCGGGCTAACTTTAAACAGTGCGAGCTTGTTGGTCTTAGTTACAAATTCCCCAAAATAGTTTGGGGGTGGGAGGCGTCATTGCGGGGACATGGGTCACACTATAGTGAAAATGGCTTCGGTCACCTACTTGAATAACCATTGCCAAGAAGGGAAGCGAAAGCAAATTGACTTTTTCAGAGATACGGAGAAAATCAATTATTCGTCACTGAGACAACTATATATTCTGATGAACATTTGAGATAGTGGTCCATCACCGCTCAAGCCTACTGACTTGGCAGATGACGTTGATCTTTTTTTCTTCTTTTTCTTCTTCTTCTTCTTTTTCTTCTTCTTCTTCTTCTTCTTCTTCTTCTTCTTCTTCTTCTTCTTCTTCTTCTTCTTCTTCTTCTTCTTCTTCTTCTTCTTCTTCTTCTTCTTCTTCTTCTTTTTCTTCTTCTTCTTCTTCTTCGCGTTCACCAGCTGTAAACTCCGGCGAAAAGTTTTGGTTATTCATTCACCTCTTTAGACTTGTTGCAGAACATGAGTGTTGTCTGCCCTCCCGTTTTACAGATTTGACTTATGTGTATGCAGATTGTTGGTTCCTTGCCTCTCAAACATATGCACTCCGACTTCGATGAAAACCCCTAATTAGCCTACACTTACGACATGTTTGCTGGGGAGGCAGTGGATTTGTTCTTGTTTTACCCCACAATTAGGCACCGGAACGCACACGGGAAGATGTTGATGATGACGGCAGTGGTGGTGGTTATGACCAAACCATTTGGCGTTTTCTCCTTCTGGCGACTTGTCTACATAACAATTCCCAGAATACCAGAATGTTAAGGAATTACTAACGACTGGTGCAGCGCACTGAAGAATTCGAATACTTATTCCATCCAAGCCAGTTTGTTTGCTTGAGGATGGAGAGATATTTATACACCTCAGCAAAAGACAAAAAGGAAATCTCAGAAGGAATAGTCCCCATTTTTTAGGAGCACCGGACGACGACGTAGAGTGGAGCTTATGGTTGCCTAGATGCTTAAACGTCTGTACTTGTCCTAAAACAGCGCCTTTTACTTGTATAATACATGCACTATTATTTTATATGATATCACCATTGCCTTTTTTTTTTCAAGAGAATGTTTATACATGGTTAAAGACCCGCTTAACACTCCCATCACACTAAAATGGGAACAATTAGTACCTTAGAATGGCTGCTGCATCGGAGGACTGAGGACGTATAGGAATGCCCAGTGTGCAGCGACATCGCTTATGATAACATAACATAATATAACATAATATAACATCCCTCTTGAAATATTCTAGGTGGCTCCTATAATATTTTGGGGGAGGTTCGAAGGACCTGAGTCAGCAGGTTTAGCAGCAATCAATGTTGTGCCATCTTTCTGGCACACATTGTTACAATTTTAACTGGCAACTATTTTTCTTGGTCTCCCATCTTATGCTTGGACTGCAATTATAATAATTCGAAATGAAGTGAACTGAAATAATTTCGCCAGCGAGAAAGTAACAATTCTAACGGCCCCATTTCTTAACTGGCTGTCTCTTCATCACACAAAAGTTACATGATCACAGCAATAAAACACGAGGAACGTAATTCATGTGCACTTATGTCATCTACACCGGCTTTGTCATCCACAGTGACAACCAAGAAGGATTATATTTCACGGAGAAGTATGAGATTTTACACCGCTAATTAGATTTACCAAGTCAGAGTTTACATATATCATGATGCAGAAGCTGAGTGGGAGACATAGAGCAGATGTAAGATGTCTCTAGGTTGTACAGGGAAAGGGGCTAAATATGCGGGAGACAGTTAGCTGCACATATATTTATATATCTTCTACAGCATGGTGGTAGTCGCCGTGGTGTAGCCGCAAAACGCTCGCATGCTGATCGGAATGTCGTGGGTTTGGGTCCTTGAGTGGGTACCAGTTTCTGGGTACCAGGTGTAGACCTTGGAAATAAAGACGACCGGCGTGATGTTGACTACATCGCCTGCTAAGTGCCGACTGGTCTATAAAAAAAGGTCTAGCCCTATGTGCCCAATACGGTTCTTTACTTACTTGACTTACAGATGTTATAGTACATAATATGCGTCTACGTTGCCAAGCGGTCAAACTCTTTCCTTTGCAAACTGAAGGTATTGAATTCGATTTATGACGCCGTCCTTTGGTCAGGGATTTCGAATCTCCTTACCCACCTCCTGTGAAGTCTCATCGTGGGGCTATGGTGTTTGATGCTATATGCCAGTGTTTCTCAACCTTTTAACACACGCGGCCCACCAGAACTGCCAACCTTGTCTCGCGGCCTACCTGCTAACCAAACACGTAACAAAAACTGTCTCTTCTTCTTCGCGTTTATCGGCTGCAAAATCGGGCGGAGTTTTAGACTTTAGTCTTGTTCCAGAATTTGAGTTTTGCGTGCACATCCGTTTTACAGCTCGGTCATATTTCTATGCCGACTATTGGTTCCTTGCCTCTCAGACAGATACATTCCGACTTCGACATTTATAATATGCTTGTTAAGAAGGCAGATTGCTAATGCTGATGTGTTTGCAGGCAGATAGACTGGTCGGTTCTGCACCACCTGGTGTGTATTGATGTATAACAAGCTAGATGTTGGGAGGGCTCTTTGGGAGCGAGTGAACAGTGCAGAAGCACAAATAAATCATTACGGTCTGAGGAGAATGGCACTTTGAGGTGTGACGAGGAGATCTGGTCGACGATCAGTACTCAACGGGAAGGCGAGACGGATTTAAAATCAGACAGTTACTCGTACCATCAGAATTGGAACTCTTCGTTTGCTGCTGAAGAGGGGAACGGAACGCTTATGGGAGTGTCCCGAGTGATATGATGTCGATTTCTAATTCAACATTCAACAGAGTGGCGTCCTGTATGTTGAACAAAATTGAGTAGATTATTCCTGCAACAGTAGGAGTTTCAAGATGACAAAACCTAGCAAGGTTTGAGGGTTTGAACAACGGATTCAACACCATGGCACACGGGTAGCAACCCATAACTCAAGTCTGAGTCCGAAGAAGCTCAGCAAAGTGCACATGCTCTGTAGCACCGGCGGGGATCCTGAAATACTTTGGGTAGATTTTTAACTCCAAATTTTTCCCGGGCAGCGCCCTTAAGCTACTCTTTTCGGTTTTCAACTGACAAGAATTGTTTTACGTGCGCAACAATGCACACGGGCGTCCGATCTCACTACCCAGAAACCAGGAGGAATTACTAAAGTCCAAGTCCACGTGAAAAAAAATCCCAGCCCTTATAGAGCAAGTAGATAATAAGTATCAATTACAGAATCTAAGCAAAAAAATGTACGGGAACCGCTTTAATGCCGATCACGTTTATGCAGCACTAAAAAACACGACCTTTCCAGGCGTCGTGAAGTATTGTGCTTGTATCTGGCTGTCACGTGACATTGAGCGACAATTGGGCTGAATTCCTTGAGACAAGTTTATGTGCCAGGTAGCATGTTCATCATCATCATGTAGCAGGTCCTTTGCAGAGCGTCGCTTTCATCACGGTCTGCCTAAAAGAAACTTGG